TGTCTACTATAGAAGACGGACGTTCCGTGGTGACTACTTTGCTAAGAACTACATTCCACCATCAGATATGCAGAAAGAGTCTCAAATAGATGTTCTTCAGTCAGATGATGTGGATTCTTACCCTGACAGTATAAAAAAAGAAATAAAGCATCCAATGAACAGCTTAATATCTAAAGATTATTTAGAAGACCCTGAAAAACCAGAGTGGAACAATATAGACAATATTAACAGGTACCAGGAACGTTATGAAAGACCAATGGATTACTATGAAGGTGGAACATTGGGAATGAAGTATATGGGTGGTGAATGTTACGATGACAATGAAGAAGACTTTGTTTCTCACATAGATGGCTCGGTAATATCTCGGAGGGAGTGGTATGTGTAGTAACAACTGAAAACTAAACCGTGTACCTACAGTTCATTTCGTTGGGTGGTCGCTTTCAGATTGTTTATACTTAACAAGAGGAAGAATAAACTTTTTGAAACTGGGTTGGTTTTTCTTCTTTTCCCAAAAGTTTTTATATTGTGACTTGACACAATGGAAATACTGAATCTGGGGAAAATGTATTTGAGCTGCTTTCTTTCCCAATGCTGTACTACTGTTTGAGTTTTAATGCAGAGTGCTTATATTGGTCTATGTCGGAGGTAAAAATGGCTAAATTAAAGTTGCCATTCACATTGTTCAAGAATAAAAAAATGGCTGTCTTGGCTCTCTGATTTAAAAAGAAGTTTACCTAAGGCAGTGATCAAATATAATCTTCTGGGGGTTTTGCTTCACAGATCAAGTGAACTACTCCAATTTAGATAACATCCATGGTAAACTTAATGCTTCTGTATAGCACATACGTTACCAATTAAAATGAGTTACAGCAGAGTCAAAGCTTTATTTTTAGGTTTTTTTTTCTTGTGCACAAAAATGAATACCTCTTAGCATTTTAATGAGCCTTCTTGTAACTATGTACTTAAAACAAGTCATTGCACTGAAACTTAGGAACAGAAATTTGAGGAATAACTGTGTAAACAGGTCAAAGGCTACTCTTTGAATAAGATGAGAAATTATTTTTTTATAGTCTTTGATTTCTAAAGCTTATGCTAGTGTCTGTGTATATACAAACAGTAAGACATTTTGTTAGGCCTGTAATTGGCAGGATGTCAGAAGTCATTCATGAATACAAGAGTCTTTGCAAGTACCCAGGGTACAATTTTAGAGACCTTTTTCTGAGGCTTTGTGGCAATCTTAGCAGTGAATTTGCAAGCCCAAGAACTGGACACAGCTAAGAAGAAAAGTCTAATAGGTTTTGGAGCTGGAGGCTAATGTGAATTTGCTTATTTACCTAGGTGCCAATGAACAGTTGCTAGAATTTCGATTGACCTGAAGTTAAAACAGTGGTTTTATGCTGCTTCTGCATAAGTTACAATGCTTACTTTGAAGAGGGTAACTAGAATTTCCGATGATCAGTAGGGAAGTGGACACTTGCATTGCTACTTCATATAGTAGAAAATGTTCTCTGATGCTGCAATTATAGAATCTGTGAAACAGGAGTTTAGATTAACTCTGCAGTCAGTATGACAGTGGATGTGTTTTCCCTGCAAATAATTGATACTTACTGAATGATGCATTCTTCCTTAAAATGACACTGTAGGCATTCTGTGTAGGACATCTGACGTAGTTCTAAGTTGTCTTCAGCAGCTTCACCAAACCAGTTCTGATGAAATAACTTCAGATGAATTACACAGAAATGATAAATAATTGGGTAGTACATCCTTTGAAGTGCCATTTTTAGGGGTTTAGCTCGAGGAAAATGAAGCCAACAAGGCTATCAGTATTTGAAACGCGAAAAGGGACAAATCTCTGCTACCTTTGAAATAAAATAGGCTGTATAATTACAGCTGCTTTGTGAGCACTCATGCTGGAAGGTCTTTTCTATCTTCATGATCTTCGGTAGCTTAGGCCATTTAGAGCTTCACAAAAATAATTGTATTGAGCATTGTAGACAATACACTGTGATTGCTTATGACTGCATGTCTTTAAACAAAGAGTGACAACAGCTTTATTTGAAAATCAAATGGAAAACCATCCCTAAACAACTTAAGTTCATGTTTGGATTAATGGAGTGCTGATACATGACTGACCAAAGTCTCAAGAACAATGGCAAATGATACTGTGTGTATCTGTAGTTTGAATGCAAACACAAAGGAGTTAAATTTCTAGCAGAAGGTTCCAATCCAAATTATTTCTGGAATAAAGAGATCATACCTCTCTTCAAATAAAGAATACTTGATGTCTCATCTTTAAAAGATGGTGTTACTTAGAAATAAACAACCATAAACCTGTTCTCCACATGGGATATTTTGCTTTTGTCTCTGTGGATGTTTTTTTGTTTTAATTTTTAAAAATTATATATATTTAATTCCTATGGGTTAAGAAGTTGAAATGTTTTGGAGTTGATAATAGGAATAGGGCTTAACGCGTGTTGCCATGTTTTGTACATTATGACTGTTGTAAAAAGAATTGATTGTAAGTACAAATGGCTGTTGTGTGAATAAACTTTTTGTTACCTTCTGGAACATAGGTAGTGTACAGAAATGTTTGACAGATGCGCTCTTAAAGTTGGAGGTACAAAAGCATAATAAAACCAGAGGCTGGGTAGAAGCAACTGAAGTGTTTAAGATGGACTTTTTAGCATTTCCCCTTGGAGACCCTAAGCTTACGAAACAGGTGTCTTCAGAAACTATATTCAAAAGTATGGAACTTGAGAGTGATAAATAGGGATAGTTGCTATCCAAACAGCTTCACTTTAAGCACAGCTGATGCACTATGTGGGGTTAAGAGTCTTTCGAATAAAAGTAAATACAATACCTGTAGCTCTGCTTTAACCATATTTCCTTTTTAACCTATTCCTGTCTATTTCTAACCAGCTGGTTGATAAATGTTGTGTAGCTGGCACCATGCATCTTTGGTTCTGTCTGGCTTTTTTAGCTGGGCATAGGAGGCTAGGTTTCTTCTTTGTTCTTCTAGGAAGACTGGTAGCTTTTTTGTGACTATATTTTTTCTAAAGTAACTAAATAAAGCAGGTTAAGTGAACCCTGCATTAATTGCAGCTTAGTTCCTGTACATTGTTACATTTACTGGGATATCGCTGTTTTTCCTGCTGTTCAGAAGTAAATGGGCAGCTATTGTTATCTCATCCAAAATGGGATTCAGTGGCTGAGCTTTCATTGAAAGTGTGTTACTTTATGATGCTTCAACAGTTTAGCAAAAAAGGACTTTGAAAATTAGTGTGAGAGAGTCAAGGAAATCTTCGGGTGCAGTCACAAGAGCAAAGCCTCTTCATGAATCTGGACCTGACAGCGTATTTTAGTTATCTACAGCTTTCTTATTGGAGCAAGAGGACACTTACATAAACTACACTTAATCCAGTGCAGTGGTTTAAGTGATTTTTCTGCTGACTCATGTGCCTGTTGTCAGGAGGATGTCAACTGTGCTTCTTACATGCATAGGTCAGTATCTGATAGCCAACGGAGCTTATGTCAAGAAAGCTGTTTTGTAAAGGTGATGTGTTACCTTAATCTCCGAGAGTGGTTTATTTTCCTGCAAGTTGTTAATCTATCACTTTATCCCTTAAAGCAAGTCACCAAAAAATGTTTATTTCAGTTTTGTTCAGGGTACTTAATCATAGCTACATGAGCAATTGCAGGGGAGTATTGCTGTCAGGTCTTTCGTAAGAAGCAAGAGGACAGAAATCCTTTTATCAGATTGGAATTAAGGTGTTGGGTTTTTTTTTGGGGGGGGGTGTTGTTTTGTTTGGTTTTAAATGAGGCATGAGAAGATGATGATTTGGCCAGCTCCCCAGCATACAAAAGAAACAGCATTAGAATGATTAATAATTGGTAAAACATACTGCATAGTTTTCATCTGGTAGGAGAATCCAGAGAGGATGGTTGCATGGTATGGAGAGAGGCAGTGTGTGATTATTTCTTAGAGGAAATAGCTGAAGTAAACTGCATTAGAGATGTTACAAGTACAGAGCTATATTAATTTTAAGCTTCTTTGCTATTATGTTTCTGATTAAGTAGTTAGATCAGAGCAATATTTCTATATGCTACCTGTATTTTATGGGTAAAAGCAACTTTTTTGATAAGCCTGTTGGTGGAGGTTTGGAACATTGCGATTGGTAATACTGAATTAAAGTATGCTAGTAGGTTTCGTAGTCAAAGGTTTCAACTTTCTGAATCCCTAGCACAGCAAAGTGGTTGACCTTTATAGATTGACATGCGTTAACTCTACATAAAAGTTATTGAACATTAGGTTTGACAGTGTTGAGGTTAAAGGACAAACTCTTCTAAAGAAAACAACTAAACAAAAAACAACCAACAACAAAAATATAAAGAACAGAACAATTTTTCCCTCTTTCTTTCTCCCCTTCCCATGCTCAGTTAAAATCCGTTTGTAAAGATGACTGTTTCTTATGGCTTAAAGTGTGAAGTCCTGGCGATCATAGATGCCTTTAGGGATTGTTTTGATAACTGTGAGTCAAGCATTAGTGATTTTGTGTTCATTGCCCCTGGTACTATATCTTTCTTCCTCTGATTTTGAGTTTCCCTTTTTCCTTTTTGCAGACTTCAGTGGCTCTAAATAGAGATGGCAAATAAAGCCATAATTATCTATCTTTTTGAATTAACAACTTACTTGCTTTTCTAAGTGCAAAGTCTGTGTTCTGGAACTTCATCTTGCCCTGAAATTGAAATTAAAAACAATGCAGTATTTATTAAAGATAACTAATGGTATTTTTGAAATTATATTGGTGGTTCATGAGCTTTCTCTTTATAACTAGCTCTTTAATTGGGTGACTGGAGCCAATACTGCAAGAATGCTAGTGAAGGACAAGGCTTTCTGTTTGGTCATGGAAGGAAAAAACAGAGCAATGCTGAAATAGTTTATCTGGGTATTGAAAGCATGTGACCTTCTTGGAGGTGTAATCTATGCTATCACATTGCAGATGTGCCATTTAAGCAGACCTCTTCTGTTGCTGTAGCAGGGGCTGTGATTGGAGCAGTCCTTGCTCTTTTTATCATTACCATCTTTGTGACAGTGCTGCTGACCCCAAGGAAAAAAAGACCATCTTACCTTGACAAAGTGTGAGTATGTGTTGGATCTTACATTTTGTTTAATTGAAAGCAATAATCAGCCTTTGTTCTATACAGGGGTTTCAGTGTCTGAGTTTACTTAGCAGCTGTTCAGCTGTCATCATTTCAGGCTGCTGTTTTGGAATAGAAATCTGGTTTATGAAAAAATAAATGAGGAGGCTAGGCATGAGTTCAGAGGTAATGCAAGTCTTTATCCCTTCAGAAGTTTGTTGAGTGTTCTTAATGAAAACTGGTAATCAGTTAAACTGGAGGGCACAGGAGAGATCTGTCTTGACTGATGCCACAAACTTCTGGCTTACTGTAAAAGTAGGTTTAACATAGGAGCAGCTTGATTGTGCTTTGCAGCAGTAAAGGTCCACAAAGATGTGGAATAAAAGAAGCACCCATAGATGTGTGCTTAGAAATGACTGAGTCAGCGTGCTTTCTGGCGTGTTGGTTTTTGGAGGCTGTGGCACAGACATGGTTTACTTTAAGCATCCAGTATAGTCAAACAAAACCAAGTAAACAAAGCAAGTCTGAAAAGGTTTCAGCAGTTAAAGTTGATGTCTAGACCCTCTTTGGAATAGTGGCAATGGCTTTGAATATCTGTAAATACAAGTCTTTTCACACATACCTTATACTGGTAACACTTAAACTGAGTGAGGGAAAAAATGTCGTGTCTGTCTATATTGAATAAGGAGTATAGTATAAGAATAAAATCACAGCATTGAGCAGAAAGTAAACTGGAGCATTTGAATCTCTTGAGCTAGCAAAATGAGTCAAGTGTTTTCCTACAACTGAGTCATTTCTAACATTGTTAGAAATGCTGGTTTCTGGTTTGTTTCTGTTACATTCTGTGGCTGAAGCATAATTGTATGAATAGTTCTAAACATTCTCATTCTTTTAGAGCCATTTGCTTTCACTGAGAAAGTTACTATAGAGAAGTCTTGCGTGTCTGAATTAATTGTGAGGCTTTCTCAAAGACTTTACAAGGGAAGACTGTAGTAGTAAATGTTGGTATCTCATAACCTTAGAAATAACAGTAGATACCAGTAGTCTCTAATTCTGCCTGGGGGAGGTGGAGAGGTTCAGTCTTAACACCTCACAGGATAAATAACAAGTTATAGGTGGTGCTTTTCTACAGAAAGTATGTGGCTGAATCATGGCTAGTGGTGTATGTGTTAACATTATAGTATTGCGTATGTGTCATTGCTGACTGAAAGGTGTGTGTGTCCCTGAATGTTGTGTGTTGGATGATCTGCCAGCTGAAATAAAGTCTTTGCCCATTCAGTTGGACTTGGCAAACATGGCATGTCATATTTCATTCTTTACTACAGGATTGATCTTCCACCCACTCACAAACCATCTTCAAATGAGGAAAGAGCATTCTCTGTACCACAGAAAGAAGCCATGCTTCAGGTGAGTAAACAGTTTTATATATATATATATATATATCTGAAATTGAGGTAGGTAAAGTGTTACTTTGTCATATTAGTTTAGTCTGATTTTGCTTTTCTAGTCATGTCTTTCTTTCCTTGGTTTGTAACCAAGAGATTTCCCTCTTTATGCAGTATCTGAATCTTATATCCATGGTGTTAGTTGTCCTTAAACGCCAGGAAACTGGTAGATAGATTCTTTCTGTATCTCTTACAGTGTTTGACAGACTGTGCTCCTCCTGAATTAGAAAATGCTATAGTTTAATTTCTGTGGTGATTAAAAGAATATGCGTAGCTTTATAAAACAGTCTTCATGTGGGGGGAACAAGTTTAGTTGGTAAACTTCAGTGACTTCAGCAGCATCATCTTTGCTAGCAACAGCTGTCATTCTTTTAAGCTGTTAAAGTTTGTGTGGGTCATAGGATCATAGAGGTAATACTGGAAAGCTAATTCTAGCAAATGAGGAAATTAAGTGGGGAACAGGGAAGGATAAGACTGCTTTTCTTAGCTACAGCATGGTCTTGTGCTGCGTTGTACTGCTCGTGAAGCTCCAGGTAAATTCAGAAGGCTTCTTCTATATTAGACAACGCAGAAGGGACCTCTTCAAGGGAGACAAGCTATGATTAACAGCACTGATTGTTGCACTATGTATAATTGACTAGTCTGTTTGTCAACACTATGATGCTGACTGTAGCCATTAAAGTGTGTGTGTAGGAGTTGTATGTATTAAATCAGTCTGATTTTTTGTATTATTTCTGTTTACTCTGAAGGAAACATTAATCACCTATCGGTATTACTGAGAATTAGATTGTAATTGTTCTTAATGGGATTCTTGTTTCATGTTGAGTAGCTTGTATAAATAATGTGAGTCTAATAACTTGTGCTGAATTAAAAGACTGAGGTAATACGGGCAGTCGTTTGTTAATAACAAACAGTGGGTTTGCAGTAAACTGCTGTATCCTCACAGCTTTAAGGGCCATAGAAGCCTTTTTCCCTTACAGAGGGATGCCCTAGGAATAAAAATTCTTCACCCACCTTAAAGGCAGATGTTGATGCATTTCTTAGTAATGCTGAAAATACTCTTGCAGATTTTCTGAATGTGATTGCTGATTACTAAAGCTCAGTTGCTGATAGAAGCTTTCCTCTGTCTCATGCAAGTAATGCGTGAAAAAGGTATTGTGTATTACAGATATTACATTGAGTAATGCTTGCTTATGTTGTTGCTGAATGAAACACAAAACCTCGGAGATCTGTTGCTACTTCAGTAGCAACAGGATAATTATAAAGTTATGGAGGTATAAAGCATTTGGATGGCAAAAAGTATGGTAGATTTTTGTTTTCTGATCTTGGAGGTGGTATAGCACCCAAGATAACACAAAAGGAAATGCTTTTCTGTGCTCAGGTTGGGCATCTTGTGCTAACTCTGTAGTAACTCTTCTGTCACTACAGTACTCGACAAATGCATTATCAGTGAATCATGCTTCTGCCAAATCATTCCTGTGCTCTAGCTGTTATGGTACAAGATTATCTTGCTTATAGAATCAGAAAGTACTGACTGTTGTGTTATTTGTGCATCTGTAGTGTCGCTAAATGGCAAAATGACAGCGAAAGGGAATGTAATTATTTTTCCTTTACCGGGTTACACATGAAGTGTATACCTTATTGTTTTCCTCTTTGGAATTCTGCTGTCATTGAATTCTTTCTTGGTTTTGCTCACTGTGGCTTCTGTTAGTACTTACGAACTAAGAAAAGCTAAAGCTGACTGTAGTCTTTGTTTAGCATCAAATACAATTGGTTATCTAAACATACTTTATAAATAGAGGAAAAACCTTAAACTGACTGAACCACATACTCATTTCCCTCAGACTGGATAAATGCAGTTCTCAGTTGGTTTGGGTGGCAAAAGATGCAGTTCTTTTCCAGGTTAGATGTTAACTATGCTTGATTTAAAAATAATGGCATAATGTTGTTAGTGTACCTGTTATTTTTTACTTCTGTGGAACTCCAAATCTGAGAGAACTGGAGGCTGAGTCTTCTTATCTGATGCTACCTATGGCCAACATGTGCTCTGTTATGCTTGAGGCAAGAGCCTCTGCTTTATCTAACGCAAGTGTCAAAATGCTAGCTCTAGTCAAGAAGTGCTTGGTTGCATTGTTTTGGTGTAATAACCCACCAGTTGAGTAAGCAAACTAGCAGCCTGTCGCTATGTTTAGTGCTGTTAGACTGAAAGTGTGTACTGGCCATGTAATTCATATACCAGATAGCATTATTTAGTCATACATGAGAAGCAAGCTCATGAGCACCTCTCTAGATAAGACATAAAGTTCTGATAACACTGAAAAGAAATACAGGTGACGTATCACTACATCTTCAGCAGCAATAGATGATGAAATTCAACCTGAGTGGAAATAATAGGCTGCACGAAGGTGCAAAGTGAAGGTAAAGGGGAATTATTATAAATGGTGTCTTCTATATACTCAAATAACTGAGGGTTGAAAATGGAGTGGTTAATTTAATTCTGGTAAGTTGTTCTATGTAACGTGCAAATATTCCAATCAGGTCCTGTTCAAATCATGCACAGTAACTTTCTTGGTTCTTGCTAAGCATTCCAAGTGCAATTGAAAAAGCTGAAATCCTCCTGTCCCAGCAATCCATATTTAAGTAGATGTTACCCATGTGTGAGTAGATGGGTGTTGGTATTAAAATGAAGGGGGGTGGTGTAGGCATTTGATATTACTGAGTAGCTAATGACATTTATAGTTACTCCTTCATACTTGGAAGCTTTAAGTATACTTTAAGTATATGGTAATGTTAAATAATAAGCTACATGTGTGTAAAAGTACTGTGAACCTGGGTGCTCCTAAGAGTTTCTATGTACTGGTATTTGCAGATGCCCATTTATGTTTTAATTGAATCACTTAAGAATTGAGAGGAACCGGTTCACTTATGGCCCTGCAAGCGTGAGGCAAAAGTCCAAAGCATAGGAATATTAAGTGGAACGAAGGGAAAATTGCAGTGTAAAAAGTTATATTTACTGTCAAGATTGTAGGTATGTCTTTACCAATGTTTTTAGCAATGAATCTATAGCTTTTGTCAGGTAGCTTTTTAATAATCACTGTCATAGGAATACTCTTCTGTTACTCTGCACTACTTTTTGCATGTTACATTAAAGAGCGGTGAGCAGCCTGAAGGCTGTGTCTTTGCTGAGAGGGGAATCTCTGCTTGGCAACAAGTTCAGGAGCAAATCAAGAGGAAGCTGAACAATGGAGCCATTCCAGTGGCTTAAATAGGAATTCCTCTGTTGCATAATATTTATAAGAGGAGTGGAAGGAGAGGTGCTAATTTAGACAGTTGTTTGAATCATTAGAGTTAGTTTCATTAACTGAGAAGAGAAATACAGCCCAGTGGGTAATTCTAGCTGTGAGAAGACTGACTTTAGACTTGCAATTTTAAGAATACCTTATATACTTAGCTAAGCAACCCTGCTGTATTCTAAAGATCTTTAATGGTAACATTTGTATTCCTATTGAAAACAGAAAAGATGTTGTGTTTTAAACCCAGATGGTGACGTAAGTGCTGTGCAGCTCACCCTCTTCCTCTTTTCCCCTCCTGGGCAGGATGGGGAGGAGAATCAAAAGAGTGGCAAAACTGTGGGTTAAAAAAAGGAACAGTTTAATAATCAAAATAAAATACAATATTATAATAATAAGGGGAATAACAGAGAGATAAAAGTGAGGGGAAGAAAGGCAAATAAAAGCAATAAACAGAAGTGATGCACAAAACAATTGCTCACCACCCATCGGCCGATACCGAGCAGTGATTGGTACGTTCTGGCTGATTCCCCCCAGCTTACACACTGGCCATGGTGTACTGTGGTATGGAAGACCCCTTTAGCTACTTTGGGTCCAGTGTCTTGTCTCTGCTTCCACTTGGTTTCTTGTGCTCCTCCTCACTGGCAGAGCATGAGACTGAAAAGTCTTTGATCAGGGTGAGTGCTACAGAGCAACAACTAAACCATCGGTGTGTTATCAGTGCTGTTCTCTGACTAATGCCAAAACACAGCCATGCACCAGCTACTAGGAAGAAAATTAACTCCATCCCAGACAAAACAAGAACAAAGATGATGGTGAAATTGTATTAGCACAGTTAAAGACATATATCACCATTTACTGAATGGTGGTATTTCTGAAACTGATTTGAAAAGATCACCCTCACTACTCTTAAAGATCACCCTCACTGCTCTTAAAAAGTCAAAATACTGATACATTTTATATTATGGATGTCTTATACTTTTCTAATTCTTTTCCTAATGGTCTTAATACAGGTGGGAACGTATCTTCCTTGATGAAAAAGGAATCATTATTGTTATAATTTGCCTTAGACTGGAGAGCTGTAAACAAGATTAAATGGGAGGGAAGCTCATCAATACTGATAAAGGATCTTACAGGGTTGGGGAGGGAGAAGAGGAAGGAATCCTACCACACAAACCCCACATTAACTAGATAGGGACCAAAATCGGGCGTGAGCTTTTTGTCAGTGCACACTTTTGTAATAGGGTTTCTAAACTGAAGAGGATGAGAAAATAAAAGATGAAGATGTTGGTGAGAGAGTTGCTTCAGACTTTTAAAGGAATAATTGAGAAGGATCATCTTTAGAGTAAAAATGCTTTTATGAAACTCTGCAGAATGGAAAAGACAGTGGAAACTATTTAAGTGCACAAAACCACAGAAACACGATATTCTCCTGCACAGAAACCCTGTAGCTGAGCACCAGTTTTCTTTGATAGACCTAATGATTTTATTTCAATCGCTTCCTTGCTGGCAGTAAACTCCTTTCTCTAGAAAAGGTGCTGTCTTCTTGTGGCATGTGAGATGATTTCCTTTGTCTCTAGTTGAATAAATGAACCCACTGGAATTTCCTTGTTCTAGTATACAGTGTTTGCCTAAATCATGTTTAAGTCCACTGACGGTAGAAATTCTTGAGCAGGCAGATTTTTTTGCTCACAGAACATGAGCCTTTGGTGATGATAGGACAAGGGGTAATGGGTTGAAACTTAAACAGGGGAAGTTTAGATTGGCTATAAGGAGGAAGTTCTTTACTGTTAGGGTGGTGAGGCACTGGAATGGGGTGCCCAGGGAAGTTGTGAATGCTCCATCCCTGGTGGTGTTCAAGGCCAGGTTGGATGAAGCCTTGGGTGCCATGGTTTACGTGTGAGGTGTCCCTGCCCATGGCAAGGGGATTGGAACTTGGATGATCTTAAGGTGCTTTCCAACCCTGAGTATTCTATGGTTCTGTGATTCTATGATGTGAGTGTTCTTGTTCCCCATGTGTGTGTTGCCTGCTTGTGTGTCAAAGTCATGCGCTTAGGTATGAAAGACCAATGTCTGTTTGTCAGCAATAAACTACCTATTCTCAGAATTGGCCTGAAGAATGCATTCTAGGACTTGAGAAACAAAAGGAGCATAACTTCAGGGGCAGGGGAGGAAAAAACGTTAAAATGGAATTACAAGAGAGAAAACAGGACAAGCAAAAGTTAGAAAAGAGGCCTGTGAAGACGGTGGAAAAGAACTGCTGGAAAGGGGAGATTTGTTTTGGTAACTGGTTTCACAATGCGTTTTTAGGTCATGTTCAAATAACTCAAAATTGCTTCAAAACCTGAACTGAATGGATGTGTAGAAGTACGAAAGTTAAGGGTAAGGAGGAGAAAATAATGGAATATTACTGAGATGGAGTTCTTTTGAAAAACACCTGTGAGGGCAAGAACATGGGTGTTTGACCACTGCAAATGTTACCTGCGTGTATGAGCACTTGTTGGGTGATGATGGAGTTTCTGCTGTAAGACCAGCAACTTAGGCACTTGGTGTTGCTGCTGCCACTGTGAGACTGTTGGGAAAAGCAGGAATTACGAAACAGTTGTGCTAAAGACATTGCTTTATTGTTTATTATGCCCCTATACTAGTAGCTAACTGTGGCATAGAGGAAAGAAGCTTAATGAGGGATGATTCAATAGCGTAAGCTGTATCCTAAATGATAATTCTCAGGTAGCATTGCTTGGTGTGGTTAAAATTGGCCATGCTTTAACCAGGCAGCTGGTGATGAACTGCATGTTTGGAAATAGGCCATTTTGCTAACAAAAGTACTCCCATCACAACAGTGTGAAAGACCCTTTCTTTTAGAAAAGGGGAGGGTTTGAGTCTTCTGTGTTAAGTAACTTACACTATAATCAGCATAACATATAGCGCTGTCTAATCTGAAAATTGAGATCAAAACCAACCCCTCTGACAGGAAGCTGACTCAATTGTAGGAAGGTTTACTCCTGATGAGGAAGTGTGTTCTGAATCTTTTCCTGCAATTAAATACCTTTTATTTGCAGAGATTCAAATGTATAGTTGCTGTAGAGTTTTTCTTTTTTAAAACTATGATTAAGAAGGGAAAGAGGAACATTTAGGTACTTTCTGCCATTTTTTATAGAGCTTAAAACCGTAAATGCCTAATAAAGAGCTGACTGCCTTGGCATTTGAAAACGTGTTTGAGTGTGTTCTGTGTAATGTGTGCAGTGTATTTATTACATGGAGCTCAGAAGAAAGGCAAGGAAGCATGTCTTCCTGAAAGATATAGTCAAATTAGAGGTAAGTATATAAACATGCACAAAATAGAAAGTTGTATTTCCTTTAATGGTTTTGTAAGTTAAGTGAGTTTTAGTTCAGCTGTTTGGAAGGTTCATGTATTGTTTGTCCTTGAAGATACAGTGCTGTGCTCTTGTGCTTTGGTAGGTTGTTTTGGGGAAAATGAGTGGGGTAGGTCAGGCCTGGGTTCTTTTGCTTAGTTCATATTCTGAGTTATGTTCAAGATGAATATGTAAGGTGATAGGTGCTGTAACTATTGTTTGCACAGAAATAATTCAGCAGTTTATGTGTGCAGGCAGGTGATGAAAATGATGACCTGTTTGGTGTAAGTAGTGAAGAAATACTATGTCCATCTATTCTCACTCTGAATGGGGTTATTTATGAACTGTATATAGTGTAGCTTGTTTGTATTTGATTCTGACATGAGCCCTCTTACAGAAGGAACTCTTCATGATGTATTGAGTCTTTGCCAGCTTTGATTGATGATTTTTCTTCATGCTGTTGCTCTTAATGCAGTGCAGTTGTACCCTCTTTGGAAACAATTACAGGCACCATATGTTTGTCTACTTCTTGTCTTCCATTTTGTCATATAATCTCATAACTCTTGTGGCTGTGTGCTGCTTGTCAATAAAGCTTCACCTTTCTAATCATTCTGATACTTCTTAGACCAGTGTCTACATAACCTCAAGGTACACGTTTGTTCCTCTTGGCTGTACCAGAGCCTGTTGTCTTCAGCTGCTATAATGTTAATTCCAGTGTTTTGCCTGCTTGGTCACCTGGAGATTGCTGATGGCAAAGCAATAATAGAGGTATGGAAGTGGCTAGTGACAGACTGGAGCTAAAACAAGCAGTATTAAGCTACAGTTGTCTGTTTTCTGCATAAATCTGATACCTAGGCAATGAGAACTCCCTGTTCTTGACCCAGATATACTTAGTTGGAAGTTACTATGAAGAAAGCTTCTTAAACTTACCATCTTTACATAGCTTAAATGGAAATTACTGGTTTTCCAGGAGTTTTGCTTTTTTTTCCAAGCCAATCCCAGATGGTTTTAGAGTGTTCATTCTTTGTTTAGAAGGAAGATGACTGAGGAAAGAGAATGGATTGGAGGTCTTGAGAGTTAAAGAATCAAGTTTAAGTTGGTGGAGGAAACTGCTTAGTTGAGAAGTGTTGCTAATGGATCGTGAGTTAAGCAATAAAGGTCCCAGGATTCCATTAGGGAGAGACCTGAGCAACACCTAGATGCCTCTTGTCTCCCATTGGATCAGTGCGGTGAAACTCAGATTATTCTTGTCTTCCAGCAGCTGCCAGATTTACCATAGCCTGCCTTTATGTACTTGTAATTTTACTGATATGCATTTGTTCCCTCAAATTGAGGGTTAACACGAGCACTTCTGTCAGGCCAAAGCGTAGTCATGCTGTTGGGAATACTAGTGTTCACTGTGTGTGTTCAGGCTCAATGCATCAGCTCATAAAGCTGCCACAGTTTTGTTTGGAAATATAAGAGGTATAAGGAGGGCAGGGAGCCATGACCATACTATCTGAGAACATCTCTTTTTAGTATGGAGTTTCTCCAAGACCTGACTGAAGAGTGAAGTGGTAGAGATACCTCCAATGCTTTTGGTCACTAGATTGCTGTCAGATTTAAGACTTATTCCAATAGCTGTGTGAAGCTAATGAGTTGTGAAACTTAGTGTTAAGGACTCAGTAAAACTGAGTAAATCTTGGTGGTGGGACTCTTCGTGGGGAACTAACACAGGACAAGTAACTGCAGAATAAATTGATACTCTAAGACTAGGAGAGGGAATCGGGTGGCAGAACCCGTCTGGATAGTAAGTTGGGTTTTTTCCTATGCTAACATGGCCAGTGTTCACAGGACTAATGGGCTTAATGAATCAAGCAGTGGACTCCTATGTGAGTTGCAGAAGAACTTCCTGCTGTATATGGCTATGTTTTAATTAGCAAGCCATGCTGAACAGTAGGAGCAGACCTACAGTTATTAAGATGCAGAATGTTCATGTTACATGTTTGGGAGGATTTGGTTGTTATTGTCTCTTGTCCTGTCCTGTGGATAGAATGCCAGTTAGTTCCTGATGTGCATCTAGCTATCAGGGCTTGCAGGACCTCCGAAACAGTGTTTTGGAGAGATACACTTTGAGGAACAGGTTTTAGGCCTCGCATCAAAAGTTAATGATAAAACATGTAGGAAATGTGGACTGTCACTTGGAAAATCCATCAGCGAAACAGACTGGGGTAGACAGTCTGTAAATACATCAGTGCTGCTTTAATTAATAAGGGGAAAATAAAATTAGTTTAATCGTACTGAAGAGCAATTGCTTTCATTTGTTTATCGTACTCTCAGTACACGTTTACTTGTTCAGTGGGAAGTACTGTGTTTAACGTTATCAAATTAAGAAACAAACACTCCCTTCTACTCTCAGTAGTGTACAAGTGAATTCCTTTTCTGTTAAATGCTTCAGAGCAATAGCAGACCGAGCATTTCTCCATATGATGCATGTGGTAACTGTGAATGATTTTTGCTTTTCCTTCAGTTTTAACCTGGGTTTTATCTAGAATTAGTCATGTTAAAATAAAGCTTTTTAATTTTCCTCAACCGTGCTTGTGCTGAAATAAAACTGCAAACTCAAACGTGCAAATAACACTTCTTAAATTGACAATAGGTTCTTTTGTTCCAGCAGAGATTAGCTTGTCCGTATTCCTATTAGTCCTCAGTTAAGGCCCTTCAGGCGGCAGAGTCTATTTTGTGATGGCTGGCATTTCTGTATGAACTGAACCTGTTCTGCAGTGTTGAATTTTGACTTGTTTCCCCTGTAACTTCTCTCATTTCAGAATGAAAGTTTTGCTTTGCAAAGCCAGTACAGAGAAAAGGATACTGTAAACTTTCATCACATGGTAAGTAATAAGATGCGTTGAATTCCTGATAGAAGCTTTGATTTCATCTTATTCCTGAAAAGAAGCTTATAAGGATGGCTTTCATAAAGAGATACTATAAATATTTGTCCATGCTAGTCAGTAACTGTTGGATGTGTGGGTTTGTTATCCATGAAGTGGGAAGTACCTAGGTAGTTTTTCTGGCTAATACGTTAGGCACTGTATCTCTGTAGGTTTTGTTGAATAATAAGTCAGCATTTCTGTGCTTTATTTTCATAGCTTTGATTTGCTTTTTAGATTTATTGAGCCTTAAAATCTAACTTACTTTGAAACAAGCATTTGGGGTTAACTCTGAGCAGCTACTAATGCTTTTGTCATGTCTGTTAGTGAATGCACTTTTTAAGTTCATAGTCCTTGATTCATAGGGCCATTTTACAGATCATGCACCTTCTGTTTTGCTTAACGCTTTAACAAAAACAGGAATTGCAGATTCTATACATGAACTACGAATCTGATTACTTCTTGTGTGTGTTTAGAACATTGTGAATGGAAGACAACTTACTTGTGAGGCTGAAGAGCCACAGGAAGAAGAAGGCATTCAGCATATGTATCCTGTTTATCAGCAAACATACTACAAAAGTTGGAGCAGCACGTACCCGGATAACTCAGGACCTGGAAGAGTCTACATCAATCCAAGGGAGCACTATGTATGATTCTGTACCCAGATGTCTTCAACTGTTAAGATACGAGGAGTTTATTACCTGTTGACATTAAGCCCAATGTGTCTTGTAGGCTTTCATCTCTGAAATAAGTCTTTTTGGGTTTTTTTTTCCTGTGGGAGCACATTGCATGGAGAATTTTATATAGATAAACCCTATGGAATTTGAAACTTTACTTGCTTCTAGCCTTATAGTTTTATCAGCCTGACAAAAGAGGAGAGCCATTTAGCTTTATTAACCTTTATAGTCATAAGATGTATAAACTTGATGAATTGGTTGACACAGGCCAAAATGTAGTTAAGCTGTTTCCCTGGTTATTTTTGGGAGCATTCTCTCTCTGAATGGATACTTTACACTAACCTATGTAAAACTATGTATAAGTAAGTAAATATGAGCAAGACAGCTGAATCCCTCATGATATAATCACTCTCAGCTGAGTAATTTTTTCACATCTTAGAAAAGTTGGGATAATTGTCATTTTGACTGGCATTAGCTATTGATTTCTCAACTAGCTCTACCTCTCCCAGTCAAATGAGCAACTAGACTACCTCTCAAATACTTTGTTTCATAGCAGAAGCTGTGTGTCTTCCCACCTTGTTAAAAGTGAAGCAGTTTCCTTACATCAGAAACTATTCTGTTTTATATTGATCCTGGCGGTTATTTGAAGTTACTTGTTGGCTGTAGTTGCATAGTAGCTCTTGTGTGAAACTTAGCTGTAGGAAGTAGATGACTAGACAGACCAAACTTCCTAAGAGAGTCTTAGGTATAGCTGCATCTTGCCTATAAATTGCTGTTCAGCTGTTTTTCCTGTATTAAATCTTGGTTACTCCCATAGTAACTTAAAGTGTTACTCCCTTATTACATCTTGCAGACTTGGTAATAAATACACTTGACATTCTTTGGTTTCTTCTCAGTTGCAGTAAAAGGGCCTGTGATGTGTTCTTACATCTTAGCAAGAAAAGGAAAACTTGAGTAGACTGTGAGTAGTTTTCAACACTGTCTTTTAATCTTAACCAGCAGTGTGCAGTAACTGGAGAATGGCCTGGTGTTACCAGTGCTAACATTATCCCATGTGAACTTCTGAGTATGGAGTGATGGTTGAAAATAGTGCTCAGGGTCTGTTTGTAAAAACAAAGTTTTCCTTTGGAGCAAAAAGTAAACGTTTAATAAATAAAATAATATGTATTCTGAAATGAGCTTTACAGGACAATCTTAAAGTTTTTTAAGACACCAGGAAACAAGACACTGACTAAAATTTGCTTGAGAAACTGAAATGGCTTGTGTGTTCTATACACACTAGTACAGAATAATGATTTTCAGTCAGATGATCTGCAGAAATGTTGAGAAGAATGGCTATGTCACGCTCAACTAGCTATTGTTACATTATTAAACATTACTTCTGTGATATTAGGGTTTTCTCTGAGGATGCTGGAATGTTCAGAGAGAAGAGTCACAGTTGCAGAAGCAATAGAATTGAAAGCCAGTATAGTTAAGTGTGCTACAGGCAGGATGCCATTTTAACCTGTATTCATCTCCATCATAGTAAAAGTTAATGAGATACTCCTATCCACAACATGACCAGGTAAGTATTTCTAGTTTGTTGCAGGTAGCAGCTACATTATGGCTTAGGTGCCCATATTCCTTTGTTAAGCAGCTTTATGTTGCATGATGTAGATGATGTTGGTGGGGGAAGAATGGCAAAGTAGAAGATCGGAGAGAACCTGTTTCTCATGAGCTTAATTCAAACCACTGTCGACTTGCTTTTTTCTTAGAGACTGGGCACGTTCCTGTTAACTGAGCAACTCTTTTCAACCTCAAAGTCTCCTGCTGTATTTGAGATGTAAATAAGCAATTCTGTGCCCCATAATATGTTTTCCAATAATGTCATTTTAAGCAGCTACCTCTTTCTACAGACATTGCCTTACCTGTCTTTGTATTACTGCAGCTGCAAAAATCATCTGCCAGAATAGGAGAAGAAAATAGTTTCTTGGACAAATGTTAAAGTAAATGGAAGGACAGAACATTGAGGTGAGCTGTATTGTGTGAGATAACTTCATAACATCACTGAGCAAAACTTGATACAAAACGTATTTGGATATATAGAGTGGTTCAAAACAGTGTTGTTGTGATGATGCTTCCACTACATTCATTAGTACAATGTGGTATTGAACAGATGATCGTTTCAGTTCCTATTGTGTTGGCAGGCGATGTAAAAACCAATTATTTGGGGTTCAGACCTCTTCTACCGCTTTTTATTCTTATTTGTGAATCCATTTTTGTTTGAATAGTTGAACCCTGGGGGGAAGGAGGAAGGCAGAAAGCTATCCACAAAGCTATCATGGCTTTTCTGAGTTGGTGAAAACAGTTCAAGCCAGGAAAATGGAGTCCAGCTGTGCTGCACAAGTTACGTATCCAGTTATATGTAGGAAGCTCGTATTGCGAACTACTCATCAGCCCTAAAGTCAGTAGGGAAATGTATTATCATGTTTATTACCTGGGAGAAATGGTTTGTTTGTCATCTATTCAGGGATATTTAGTGTGTTAGGGGGTTTTTGCCATGTTGCTTATAGTCTTCAGTCTGACTGGATTTGGGGGGGGGGGGGGGGGGATTTGGCATAGAATGCTCTGAAGAGCACATTAAATGTCTGCTGGTTAGAATTTCCCACGGAAAGGATTGCACAGATAGAAGTTTAATCTGCTTTTTTTTAAGACGTAGAATATGTCGTTTTGTATTTTTGTACATTTTCAAATGTTTGTATTTGTATTCTGATTTGAATAAACATATTTGAAATGCAGACTTTTGCTGTGGTGTTCAGGTTTAGGACTGCTTAAGCTATGGAAAATGTATCCATTTTCTTGGCGATATATTTCCTCCTCTCTGGTGTATACGTAGAGCACGTGTTCTTTTCTCTAGCAGTACCACTTTTGAATATCTGTGATGCTGGATGCTGGAATCAGATTTCCTTTCAACTTTGTTTTGTTTAACAGGGGTCTGTTAACTGAATACTTCGTGTAAACTGAGCACCCAAAATCACCCTTGAGGGAGGTGGGAATGGAGGGGAAGTGTAGAAGTTCACCTCTCTAGAGCTGATAAATGAGAATTGTCATCTGCTGAAGGATCTTTACATTCTACAAGCTACTCTAATAATAGGAAACATAAGATCTTGTGTTTGGCATATGTCCAAAATGCCTGTGGATGTAATAGGAAAACTAAGAAAACATGCTAAACAACAAAAAAGGGGAAACATTTAAGCTCATTAAATGACTACTGCTGTTCATCCAAAAAATATCTAAGGTATTGGGTATTCAGCTCAAAGAAAGCCAGTAAGAAGGTGTGATTCACAAAGAGCGGAGGGAAAGTTTGCTCATTCAGATTCCTTAACTTTAGCTGTTCTACGGCAGCATTGCTGCTGTTGCCTTCTCTGAGTGATACAAGTTCAGGTGCAGAATGCTGTGGCGTTGTATAGATAAACGCTTAAGACCTGAAGTTACTCTTCAGGAACCCACTGTGTCACTTGAAGGCTCTGCATGTAAGTGCGGTAGAACAGAGGGTACTGAGTTGTTTTGACAGCGTTGGGCACTGCAGAGATTACGGACTGGCAGAGCTAAAGCTCCAGGCAAAGAAGTCCAAAACGGCCTTAGTAGTTCTTACCTGCCTAGTTGCCCAGTGGGAGGGCAGCCAGCTGGTGGTATAGATCTCTGGAATACTTGGGGAAACCTGAAAGAACCAACTTGGTGTGCAAAGACATCAATGACCTGGCCAGTTGTGAAGGTGGTTAGATAGTTATGCTATAATGAAGTGCAAAAAAGGCAAGTAAAAGTTATGGTACCCTGTTAAGGTGGTGACAGCTAGTGGTTGTATCCCAGTAGGAGACCGCTTTGACTTTATTCCCCTGTGGAGGTAGATGGTTTAGAAAAATCAGTGGCATTAAAGCCTACCAACCTGCATTCTTCTTTCTGTTTGTCTTGCTGTGTAACTGGTACATATTTTGGCAATATTTGTCAGCACTGGAAAAATGCTAGGCAGGAGTGATTTCATTCAGAAACCAGTCTATAAAAGGACCAAACTGTGGAGCTCTTTGTGTCTAGTACCACCAGCTGCTCTAAAAAGTAGAGGCCTGTGATTTGATGCTTAGCCAAAAACCTGGACTTGTTAAGGAGTCTGCCTGTCCAAGTACTGGTTGAAAGCTCTAATAAACCTCAGAATTGGTTTCTAACAGTCAAGTTCCTGTATTTATTGAAAAGCATGGCGTTACTCTTGGTAATTAACTTGTAACTGATATTAAATGCACAAAAAAAGAGTTTTGAAGCGTAGTAATAATTATTCAAACACTGTGAAACCCAAGTCGAGATGCATTAGGCATTTTAATCTGCACTTTCCCTAGTCGTATGCTCTTCCTTGCATTGATTTTATGCTGTATCTAAATCTGGATCCTTCAATTGCCAGTGAAAATAAATTCTACTTAGGAGCCTACAAGACAAGCTGTGATTCTTCTGCCCTTTGTGTGACTAGTAATCAAGACTGTATAATTGGAATTCAGCTTCCTATTTTGAGACCAAGTTGGAGACAAAGTAGGCTCCAGCTTGCTCACCAGCTGAATTTCAATTTACTGTGCAGGGCTGCACACAGAATGCACAGATTAGGCTGCGTATAATAAAAAGACATTTTAACTGGAATTCAGCCACAGTTTTATTGTATTGCTACTTGAAATGTACACTTCTGCAGGGATAAACCAGAATTAGTTTGACAAGAAACAACTTTCTTAATGCTGATGGATGAAGGAAGAAGTTTAAGCATTTGCTGTTGCACCATACCTGAATTTGGTCCGTTTCTGGTACAAACGTAGTTCAATGGGTTCCAAGTTCTTTTATGATGTCTATGATGGTATCTCAGATACTTTCACTGCTCTTAATGTAACCTGATAATTTAGATGTCTTTGACTAAATCCTTGTCTGCCACTTTTGCCTCTGGTTCCAACCCAGTGCCAGCTGACTTTGGGCTAAATGTTGGGAAGTAACTTCATTTTGAAATCTGTATGAAATTAATAATCTGGCTGTATGGTAGATGAAAACATAGGGCAGTTGGGTTTGTCTTCTGACTAAATAGGCTCTTTCAAGACCAGATTCAGCTACTTCTGTGGCTGTTCTATTAGCAATAAAAACCTGAAGCTGTCTGAGTTTAATCCCACAACTAACAGAGACCTTTCTTTCCTTGATGTGAATTGAGAGCCAAGAGAGAAATTACCATGGACAAATCAAATACCTTTGTATTGATCCAGATAGGTTTAAAATCCAAATTTAGTAGATAGCATCCCTTGTAGATTGGTCCATCCAGGTAGGCTCTAAGCAAATGGACAAAAGACTTAAGGTTGCTGGAGGAAGACTTGCACCATTTCAGGGTATGGTGCTTTGTTTCTAATGCTTGTGACTTTAATTAATGTGTTTCTGTCAGCTGGATCCATTTCCTGTGGCTAGCAATATTCATAAGAGACCTGGATTAGTACCAAACAACAAATACTGGGTAAAGCGGAAAGTCTCACGTGTTTGGGAGTGTTTTGTGTTGGCTCTTCAAGCACTTCTAAAATTGGCTACTAAAAAATGGGGTCCTAAAAGTTTCCCACTACTTCTAACTATGCAGTCAAGCCATCTGCTTTACACTTCCCCTTACCTTGGAGAACAGGAATTCTTCCTGGCTGGGCTCGATGACTTAAGCCAAGAGGCACAGATGTGACCATTACCAAGGATCGTGTCTGGACAGAGAGATGACTTTAGGGAATCCCTCACTGTAGGGTTGTTCATTTGAGCAGCCAGCAAGCCCCCTGGTGTCCTGTGGCTTTGTGCACTGGATAGACTAGCCTTTACATAAACCAGAACCTGCAAGTTCTGCCTGCCCTTTGCAGTGTAGAGCTGCCTGATTTCTATTCTTTAAAAGGGAGCTTTACAGATTCACAGTGTTTCATTCACAGTTACATTCAGGGTTATTAAGAAATGAAACTTAATTCAGATTAGAAAGGCATCAGACACCTTAAAAACCCTGTTTTGTTTCTGTTAGTTCCATAGCTTGTCTGCCTCCTATCCGTTTCCTACATCCTTGCGCCTTCTGTATCCATAGGATGGTTGTTTGCTCAGTCATCTCAGATCTCAGGTTGTTTTCCAGCAGGGAGAGGCAACAGTTTCTCCCCTAGGATTTCCTTTCTCTTTATAATCTTGGCTAAATACCTTGCACTAAGGTAGCTACTTAGGGTTTTATTAAGGAGAAATTACTTAAGATGGAGAATACATCCTATGTTTTACCATAATTGTCTCTTTTGCTTCTGCTCTGGCTTCTTGGGACAGTTCAGTTTTGACTTTATAGAAATGGTTGAGATTGTGTTGTGCCATTTCCTCTTCCACCTCTTTAATGTTTCGTAATGGTGTGAGGTAATGCGTGTTCAGTAGTGGGATTTCATGGTAGAATAACTTGATCTCTTAATAGTAGAAATGAGCTCTATGCCTTGATTATACTAAAATAGTGCTACCAATCAA